GAGGAAATTCATCTTTGATCGCTTTTGTTGCGTGCGCTGCCGTTCAAGATACCCAAAAAAACATGTATGAAAGAATCCTTCTTTGGATGATGTAAAAAATACGACAGTTATCTATCTTTTAAATTTGACTTGCAAGAACAACGGAACGCAGACGACATCGTGGATATAACAGCTACAATTTTGTTTTGGAACCAGAAACAAGGTTTTTAAAGCCCAAAAAATTATTTACGCGGACGAAGTCGCTGGCATAGCTAGTAATAAATAAGTTTATTTGTTTATACTAACCGATACGCCCGTTGCAAGGCGTGATTGCCTTGGACCTTTAGTCCTATCGAACACTGAAACAAATGTCAGTATTTCAAATTACTCAATTTGCTATAACTCGTTGAGTGAATGACGATCGTGAGTGATGATTATTACGAAAAATGTCTGGTAATTTTTCGCCAGCGTCGGGGCGCGAGTGGCAGGTTATCCACCTGTTAAGTGGTATTGCTGTCTGAGGACCTCGCTATAATAATGCACCCGCATTAAGCTGGTGCCGGAGCGCTTTGGATAACACGGCCTAGCTCTATTGTCTATTGAACTGTTGTTTTTTTTTTTGTTGCAAGGAGGACGTTGAAGCTGCCAAATTCTATAATCCATAGATGACAAGCATGGCAACGCTTAGACATTTAAAAACTTAAATATTTTTCACATCTTACTGCGCATGATGACACTATATAAATTAAATATCGATTATAAATTGAAAAAATTACGAAAATCACGGGCAGGACTCGAACCGCACATCCACAGCGTTCCGCGCTGTTGCTCTAAGCAATTGAGCTACGGTCTCGATGGATTTATAATTTAAACGATTAGATTACGATTTTATTTTTAAACAACTCTTATTGTATTCCTGTCTTCTAGTCTAATCAATTCAAAACTTTTGTAATCTTCATCTAAAACTTCTTAGAACTTAGATTTAGTCGATCTGTGTAGTAAAACCTTTGACGCGTCCTGTTATCAGTATTCGATTAGAGGTAATTACGTGTAACGATAAATCTTAATTGTTACACAAAACACTTTGCGGATTGACCTTGTCCCCTAAGCAACATTGTGTAATACCTCCGCGGTTCCCATGGAATCACTTATTTAAATGAGTAATGTCCATAAACATTTAAGGGTCCACCTAAACTCGTTTGGGCTATTCTAAAAATCTTCGGAGCAATTCCTAGTTTCGTGGGAGAGGTGATAAAAAAAGTTCTTCCGGCTCTGCCCGCGTCCCGAATTGGGTTGGCTCAGGTAAAAACTAGTTTTGGGAACCCTCGCGTTCAGTGGGCGTTGTCTTTGAACGGCTTTCTTCAGAGATGAGTTTTTGAAATTGAAATTAGTTAAAGATCCTGCCGTTGAATAAAAGAATGGACTAAGGTCTGTGACTAAGGACTACTCATGTCGAAAGGAACTTCAACTATGCTGTATATAATTGCTGATGATTCCTCTATTTATTATCATGTGACTAAGATGTTAAGAGTTTGTATATTCTTTGTATCTATCTAAATAAAACACTTTAACGGTTTAAAACGCGATATATTAGTTAAAGTCACAGTCTCCCCGTGACTACGTCGGGCCGAAGTTAAAAATCATTTTTAAATAAGTTTAACTAATATATCGCGTTTTAAACCGTTAAAGTGTTTTATTTTAATGTGTACTACTCGCGTAAACTATAGACAGTCTTTGTGGCTATTCTATTCTCTGTATTATTACTTATAGGTACGTGTATCTCTATTCCTTTATGTATTTCGTATTTTAAAATCTTAATTAGGGATAAGTACGTAATGTTAAATAGTTTACTCGCTTATTTTCCTAGTTCATCGACACTTTTTTTACTTAAAACCCATGTTAATTAGTTATACCACGCAACAACGGATTTTTCTTCTATAAAGCACTTTCTCGGTTTGGGGCCTTGTTTTTTCTACCAATGTGTTTCATTAGTTAGGACATAATTATATTATTCACTCTATTTTTTATTTCTAAGAGAAGAATGTCAAGAACTGTACTTGATTGATTGATCTAGTACTTATTGTAATTTTATTTATTCCTTGAATGGATGCGTCTTCTGAAACAAAACCTTTTTAACTGAAAACTAAAGCCTTATTTGCACATTTACGTATCTGTTCTTGAAGCAACTTGCCCTTAGTCGTGGACAGTTAGTAGATAGTAGATTACAAAGCGACGACGCCATGACCGCCCACCGCAAGACACGACCGTGACCGCCTATGACATTATTTGTGAACATTTTATGGGATCACGCCCACTCGATTGGTTTGCTTAGCTCCACAAATATGTTTGCTCTTTTATAACATGGGAAGGTGTTGTGATTTTTAAAAGGCGGTTTTACGGCTAGACCGCTTGCTAAGGGAGATGAAAGTCTTGAGTTTGCATCGTGTTCGGACAGAGACCACAAATATTATTCAAAATATAAAATTAATTTAAAAGCAGACCCTATATTAGTTATTATCTATTGATGTATTAAAGGGACACATCTGAATACATCAATGGATATGGATACTTATTGAAAAAACTTACGTGTACGAGTAGTACACATTTAAATAAAACACTTTTACTGTTTAAAACGCGATATATTATTTAAACTTATTTGAAAAAATTGTTAAAAATCATTTTCAAATAAGTTTTAAACCGTTAAAGTGTTTTATTTTAAAGTATTTTTTAAGCTTTTATTTAATGTGCTCTATTTTTTTTTATTAAATTTTAACGTTATATAACAAAATTTAAATATACAATAAGATTTAAGTTCTTCTTATGTTTATTCACTTTAGGATAATATTTGTTGAAATCCTTAAAATGATTAGACGCAATTCTATTAAATTTGATATTATAATTCTATTAAAGCAGAATGTAAATAGTATCATTTAGTTTAACCCTCGAAGTAGTGTAAACAAATTAATGAAATACGAAATAAGTTTTCTATTGAATGAGTGCTAATTCCAAACGAGTTTAGCGAAATTTTGTACAATTTGAGCCGGTAAAACAATTAACGATGTTTAACTTTTCGAAACAAGAATGAGACAAAGAGTTGTCCTCCTCGAGACAAAGCTCTTGCGTAAGTTTAGGGAACAAAGGCGTCGTTTCCTTTTGACTGTGTCCGCTTTAAACGTAATTAAACATGCACACAAAAAAGTTACGCAACCATGTAACTGGCGAGCTTTATATCCTTCGCAAAATGGTCACCTAATTGGCGGATGCTCGTGTTCCCTTGACATCCATATTACATGACTGAGAGCTTTGTCACAGTGTACGCACAAGGAAGATGGTGAAATATCCACCCCTCCACTAAATGTACATCAAGTTCACAAGGTCCGCGGTCGTCTTTTGTTTTCTAAACCCTTAATACTGTGCTTCTGCATTCTCATAGAAATAAAATCATGAGTAAAATAATGACGGTCAAATACAGTTTCTTTCTTTTGTCTGATATTGTCTATGAATTAGTGAACTTCGCTCATTGATCGTCGTTTCACTGTTGGAGTGGAGTATACTGTGTTGACACACAATGCCCGTAGTAGACCGCAGACTTCCATGCAGGATTCAAAAGGCAATTTCTGGGAACGCGGTAACCACATTCACACGTCCGATGGGATACCGCAGAAATGAGATTGCCTCGGGCGCACCTCGTATGGGGAGATTCGATTCGAGGAATTATAGGTGAATGCTTGATTGCTTTCGACTGTTGCTGATCTCTTTTTAGAACTTTTAATGTGATACATTTGGGCAGTCAGCGCAACCAAATTTCCCAAAACAATATCTCCCATCTCTAAAGAGAATATGCTAAACCATATGACATTTCCTTTCCAAATTATCTTGCTGTGGCGAATATCTCTATTTATATACGAGGCCGCTAGAGACAGAGTGGCCTAATAACAAAAAACATGATTTTCAATAGAGGGAGATAAAAATGTGCAATTATCTTAGGCGAAAATGAATTTGTACTATTCTTTGATTTAAGAATTATGCTAACAATTTTCGGGATTACGATATAGCCTTCCTCGATTACTAGCAAGTACACCCAAGTGAAAATATTGTATACCACGAATCAGACGTTGACACACATATGTATGAGTAGTATTAAAATATAGATGAATCTGTGTAAATATTCATTACATAGGAAGTGACAAACGGCACATAGCTGCATCAAAGAACTAAAGTCCCAGAAAAGTGCACTTGTTGTATGGAAATTGTGTAAAAGGCGAGTGGTAAGAATAGTGTTAATGCTTTCCCAAGTGGAAGCCACTAAAGGTGCTATTAATTCCCCTTACAACTTCGCGCGGGGAAGCAAAATGTTTTCCTCATTTATATACCCACTGGTTTCTACGTGTGGATTCGTTCTCGTGGTTGTAAATATCGAGGGGAATACTACCTGAAAAAGAGCGATCTTCGTGATCTATATACTATTATTATTGCTTTCTCTTTTCTAGAAATAAAATAAACCCTAATTGCTCTCCGATATTACGCCTCGTACACCAAATATATAGTGGACAGCTTGCTTAATTATGGCTTGAAATAAATATAATACAGTGTCGTATTTATAATATTAGTACGGATTTGCATAACCAGTTGACAGATGTTTATATTCTATCAAATAAGCTCTTTGTTTGATTCGTACGTGATCGAAACAACTCGAAGGAGTTTACACCCGTCTTTCGATTTTAAGGTCTTAAGGTCGAATCTTAACTGTGCTGAATATTCATACACGAATTACGTTCAGTTATATTATAACTTACTTGATTGATGATCCCTTCCAATATAAGGTTTACAATAATTTATTTTAGTATCTAAAATACCTTTGCAGGGCTTATGGGAGTAATTCAAATGGATTATATGGAATAATCCCGGCTTTTGTTAAATGGGTACTAAAACTTGTATGGCATTGGCTTATAAACAAATTTCCGGTCAAATGGTAATGCCGTCAAATTTTAGTGTCCTAATCTCGCCATACTGAATTCCAGGTGGAGAGGTACGCGTTCGAAGACCACACCCCGCCGAACATCGAGCTGATCCAGCCCTTCTGCGAGTCGGTGCACTCTTGGCTGAATGCCGATACAAGGAACGTAGCTGCAGTACACTGCAAGGCGGGCAAAGGAAGAACAGGTAATGCATATAATCTTAATATTATCAATACGCAACTCTATGTGGTGGACCACTTATGGGTCAATTATAATATCTTTACAATTTCCTTTTAAAATATTCTGCATGTTCGAGTAATAACCAGAGATTTATGAATTAACTCATTAAAACCACCAAAATCCCAAAAGCTGTGCTAGTATTTTATGCTCGAATATTCAAAGGATTCATAAACATCCAAGTCTAAAATGTTTCTTTAGTAAACCTTATGTATTTAATTTTATGCATTTTAGAGTTATTTATCCAATGTGAGAGCATAATTCAAGCCCTCGTAATGTCGTTTCCGTTCTAAACGGCATATAAGTACTACCCAATTACAAAGAAGGTTAATTTAGACGTTAGCAAGTAAGGATGTGGTCTGATATAAATATTATGTTGCGTACAGCATCGGCGTCGTAATTTTATATCATTGTACTCTTCGAATTGTAGCACCAACTGACTGACCAAAGGTAGCTACGCGGTAAAAGCTGAAAAATGGGAGACTTCGGCCTAAGATTTTGTATGAAATAGTTAATTTTGCACCCGCATTTGCGCAACAAAAGCAAATTGCACGGTAATTGAAAACTCACTCTTATCTATTCAGTGTGATTGTATTCAACTGCACGCGAGGGCGCTTCGGAAAATGTATATTCCCGCTGCATACAACTCTTTGTCCCTAAAGTGTGCCGAGTAAATTGCCAGTGCTGTGGGGCCGAAATTGCAACGTCTCTTGAAGTTACTATTTTTTATGAAAGCACGTTTTGCTGTACGAGCAAGTCTTATGTACGTTGAAGTAGTAAAGACGAGTGTTCTGGCGGTGGACTGTTACACGCTGGGTTAACTTATCTTAAACATTTTTAAAATTTCAGTTTATATCATTATTTTGTGTTGTGATTTTATCTTAGATTTGTGTAAACTATAGAGCAATATTAAAATTTCGTATAAAATGGACATTTAATATTTTAACCCCCCCCATTTTTTTTTCTATGGTCCCACCTAACAAGTTCCTTATAGTAATATTCAAGGTGATCCTTGCTTATCTTTTCTGTTTCACTAATGACTAAGCACGTGTAATAAGATTAAATTGTACGTAGAAGTTGAACGAAGCGATTTTGAGAATTCGACCTTCACGAGATCGATCAAAGAGCTCGCTAGCAACACGTGTAGACCTCAGCACAACCTAGGCTAATCAATATTCAAACATATTCAACCCGAAATAGACTAATAACGGTGATATTTACCGAAGATTGCGCGGCGAGGATAATAAGGACCCCTGTTCATAATGCCTACGGTACAGTTGTAGGATACTTGTTACCAAGTCGCCGGCAATATGTTGCTTTTTTGAAACAACTTTGATATGTATCTTTAATTTATATGCTAACTCGATGAAAACCTTTTCTTAAACCAATTTTGCTTTTAAAAGATTTTACCCACCGCTTACTGATTGACTTTAATGGATAACAATAAATTAGTGATCACACCAACTTTCAAACTTCGAGGTGGTGCTACATAATTTCTTGGAATGAATCTAAACCGAAGTAACATTTCACCTAATTATTATACGACTATAATTTGAGCTCGATTCTAATTTAACAATTAAAGGTAAAAACAACTTGCTTGGTACAAAAATAAATTACTTTTCAAATATCTACACCAATTTTCAGTAGTTTAATATTTTTTACTGTCTTTAGCGTGCGTCACAGATGTACAATAAAATTTGAATGAATGCATTCAATAATAAATATCTGAAAATCACTCCACCCAAAGCAGAAAAGTAAATGACATATTGCCACTTGCATACTACGCGCGTTTTCAGGTGTTTCAAATTTTTTCTGTAAATTTGTATATCTCGTCGATTTTTAACTGTTGCAAGTCCATGTATACGGGGCTTAATAGTTACAAAGGTTAAGTCTATTACACGCGAGCGTCGCTTTCAGCAGGGTCTTTAACAAAGGAAAATCGTCCTAAACTGCCGTTCGGCTATTGCCATATTTCTCCGGCTTATTATTGACCAAATGGGGCACCGCAGAGACTTTGCTCGTAAATTTCCCAAAGAAGCGGGGTGGTCTTTGTGCGTAGTTTTTGCGGTTGCGGCCCTTTACACGAGGGACTGCGGCCGTGAAAGGGACAAAGGGTGTGACTGTTTTAATGTTTTTACTCCTTTTTGGCCTGGCCACGCAATGCAGGATACACGTACAATTATTTCATAGTTTTGTGACTACGGACTTCGTATTTACAGAGACAAGTCTAATGCCCCGTATCCCCTTCCAGGGCCAACTCATTTCTGTGCTCCCATCGCTGTTTTATTACTTGTTATGATCTAACCGTTAAAAATATCACTTATTTCTATGTATTTTCGTATGCCATTACTTTTATATTCCATTCTGTTCTCTATATAAGAGAAAAACTGTTGTCTATATTGCAATTATGTTGAAATTCGTAGTGTTAATTCTTAATGAATAAATTAACTTTTTACCGATGCAAAAATAACTGCTTACTTTAATTAACTGCAAATGCTAGACGTGACTCAGCATAATGAATTTCGTGAATGATATCATCTGACTTTGAAAAATGCATTCGTATAAATATTAATTGTTATTTGTAAAGGCAGGTCTGCATTAAAACTTCAACTTCCAAACTTTTGTGTCAGTAACTGGTTATGCTAATTTAATATTAATAAGTATATGTTGCTATCCAAACCAAAAAAAAACGTTTGCTTATGTTCGTTCAATATGTATGTAATTAATTAAAAAAATGTAATATAATAAAATTACCTAAGAAAAAGTGGCACCAATTGTTTTAGTAAAATTGTATTTTTGTCTCCCCTCATTTTTATAAACTTAAACTGTTACCCACGACGCAAGTTAATCTTAAAAGATAGACATATAGCGTCGCGGACTTTTTAAAGATTATTTAAAGAGGATTAATTTTTGGGTTTCTTGAAACGTTCTTGTATTAGTTACATGGCAATGTTTTATAGCCTATATATGCCTACAAATGCTCTACCCAACACAAAAATATTTTTTCAATTCGAACCAGTAGATTCTGAGATTCGCGCGTTCAAAAAAACAAACAAACAAACTCTTCAGTTTTATACATTAGTATAGATAGTATCCTTAACAAATACATGTAGATGTTTACTTCAGACAATTAAACATTATTAGCAATAACAGCACTTGTGCATCCGCACCTTTATATCCTTCCAAGTTTATTAACCGGTCATATAAATTATTATATATCGTTGATACGAATCTCCATGGCAACAAATAAGTACGATTGTTATGTTAAGGCCCGTTTCATACAAAAAGTTGGTTGGCTTGTTACTTATAAACTAAAGAATATCTCTTTATATACATAACTAGTAAACATTTAAATAAAACACTATGTTAAAAACGAGAAACGTTCGTCGCAGTTGAAATAACTCTATACTAATATTATAAATGCGAAAGTAACTCTGTCTGTCTGTATGTCCGGCTTTAGCTCCGAAACTACTGAACTTCATTGAAATTTGGTACACTGATATTTTTGAGCCTGAGAAAGGACATAAGCTACGATTTTTAATGTCAAAAAATGGTTGATAGGGTTTGAAAAAGGGTATGAAAGTTTGTATGGAAATTCGTGGTTTTTGATGCTAGAACAATGAAACTTTCTTCTTTGGCTTTTTGGGAATAGGAGTGGGAGTGAGTGTAGGAATGAGAGTGGGAGTTAGAGTAACTTATTTTTCGTTTTTTAAACCGACAAAAGTGTTTTATCTAAATAAAGAATATCTTAACATGATGCCTTTTGTAAAACAGGCCAAGAGTAAGATTTAACTTACACAAATGCTCGTGCAACATTACAGGTACGATGGTATGCTGCTATTTGCTGTACAGCGGTCAAAAGGCGACGGCGGATGAAGCACTCAAATTCTACGGCGCAAAGAGAGCACACGATGAAAAAGGTATTTATTTTATTGTATTTGATTATTATTACAATTTTGTTATAATTACCGACCACTACTTAATGTGATCATGGATACTAGCTATAGCAGAAATGTTTATTGTAAAAAAATCACATAACATAAATTTTAGAGGAATATCTTATCACCGGGATGCAAGCCGACTAGACATTTAACCAACGCCATCTAGCGGCTGTGTTTTAACTAAATTCACTATAAACTGAACAAAGACACAAATTACAAGAATATAAGGAAGAACATTAAATACTCTTAATTAATTTTATCGATGAATTTATTTAAATGTATACTGTACTCAGTTTAAATCGAACGCAAGATCTGTTAGTTATTAGACATATGTATATCATTAGTAATAAACCGACAGATCCTTTTTAGGAGACTTCATGCACGAAGTATATAATGTAGTCATCTTGTTTATATGCTATATGGTATATCACCTACTAGTGATCCCATGCTCGTCTCTCCTTCTCTAAAAAAAATATTTAACTACTTTCAGGTGTAACGATACCATCGCAACGGCGTTACGTGGAGTACTTTGCGTCGTTGGTCCGCTCTTCGCTACACTACACCGCGAGCAAAGTGCACATCCGTGAGGTGGTGATGTCGCCTCCGCCAGCTTTGAACGCCGCCCACTGCACTTTGGAGATCACTGTCGCTCAGGCGAAGCCTTCTATGCTCAAGGTATACATAGGAAAATAACAAGCCATAGTTTTTTGTTGTGTGTGTTTTTAATATAAATAATGGTTTTTCTGTTTTTATTAATAACTATCGTTGCCCGCGAATTCATCCGCATGGCATAGTTATTTTGAGCATAAATTATTTATTTTGCAAAAAACCTCCCCAACGTTATAAATAATAATTATTATTATCCATGTCGATTGCGTCCTGTCATTCTTGCGGTTTAATTTTAAAAGATACACTACTGTTCCGGATACTTAAAAAATCATTTAAAGATTTTTTATTTTATTTTAAAACTATTTTCGCAGCGCACGCAATGAAAGCCCACTAGAATGAATATTCTTTTCCGTCTTTTCCTCATTTTCCAACGTTTATTCGTTCATATTTGTCGCAGTGTGATGTTATATAGCCTCGATAAGTGCTCTAACCGACATAAAAATAATATAATTCGAACCTGAGATAATAGTTTTCCGAATTATCTTGCAGACATGCCTAGGCAGCCACGAGATGCGCCGAGGGGAGCGATGTGTGCGCGTGTGTCCTCTCGCATGCACGCCACTCAGCGGGGATGTGCGCCTGGACGTCTACGCGAAGCAGAAGATGATGATGCGCAAGGAGCGGCTGTTCCATCTCTGGTTCAACACGTTCTTTGTCACCGCGTGCGTTGGCTCGCAGCCGGTGCCCTCGCCACACGACAGTGGGTTTTATTATCTACTTGCGACCCGCACCGACTTTGCTCGGGTGCAATGCAGATACTAAATACACTACAAAAAACTGAACCTTCCTCTTGAATCACTCTATCTATTTTTAAAAAAACGCATCAAAATCTGTTGCGTAGTTTCATACATTTAAGCGCACATAGGGACAGAAAAAGCGACTATGTTTTATACTATGTAGTAATGTTGTTACAGACTTTGAACATTTTGTTCATGCCAGTAACCAAAATAAATTGAAAAGAAATAACCTACACATGTACAAGACTAAGATGATCCACAATGTGCAAGTAATACTAAATAAATCAAGTCATAAATCCTTTCAGTTTATTCAAGTTAAAGTGGAGGCCGGGATGATCAGCTGTCTTAGGCACCATCAGTATTACGGGGTTCGGACAGTACTTATTAATCATCATCAACTTATTACCAATTGGAGTCCGAGTACTTTAATAGTATATTTGTCTTACTATTCTTACAGTTTACCCAAAACTAAATAAATGCTTTTGATGTATTAATTACTAATGATAGTTCTGTTCATATTTCAGGTCCTAATCTGGAGACGTTCAAGCTGACTTTGAACAAGTGGGAACTAGACGACGCGCACAAGGACAAGCAGCATAAACTGTACAGCGAAGACTTTAAGGTTTCTCTATTGTTTCATTTTTGTTTGATGAAAGCAAACTATTTGTATACAATACTATATTATATAATTTTAATGCTGTAAAAGTTAAAATGACATAAAGTCACATAATATTTTTTAATATAAGTATTAATATCCAACGAAGTGCTTTATACTTCCATTAGGAATCCCATTATAAAAAAATATATATATATTGTGAAGTAAAAAAAATATATATAAAATCCAACAACGGTTACTAGAAATAACAGGTTATGTAGTTTGAAAAGCTTAATAATCCGGTCAATAGATGGCGCCGCTTAGCGCTTGAAACGCGCTGACGTTTCCTACCGCAGCAAATACATAGCATTTCCCTTACAATCAGTATCTTTACAAACAAACAGACAAGCAGTTTTTAAATATACTAGCTGTGCCCGCGACTTTATTCGCGAATTTTTGAGATCTTCTGCCTTATGCGGTATGAAGATTATAAAATAAATTGTTTATCGCTATTATTAATCTAGAGATAACTCTAGCCCAACTAGACTATTATTGTTAATAATTATAGTTTATAAGTTATCTATTCTATGTGGCCCTTTCTTTTTTATGTAGACAGACGACAAGCACGTGGTTTGTGTGACGGTAGGTGAGATATATCAGCCGTATAACATCTAAACGAGATGCGCTGTCGGCCTATTTTGGCTCTGGATTCGGAACTCGAATGAACTGAAACCGACACGCGATCAAACTGGATGGCCTTTCCATCTGTGGACGATACATACTTTCGATATTTCTACTATTTATTTAATATCCAGATTTCCAACCTGAGTCCAAGATGTTTTTAGAAAAATTGCAACTTGATTAGATTTAAATGTTGGTGGGGATCGAACCCACGACCCGTTTATGCAACCATTACACCAACGAGCCCGTTCTAGCGAATGTTATGGAATACGAAACGGTATCCCAATTTATCACATTATACTTAATATCCTAACCTTGAGATTAACCCTAGCTAACTATCTACAGTAAATAAAACGTATACCGCTGGAATTTACAGGTGGAGATAATAATCCAGAAGCAGCCGGAGACGTCCAAGTTCAGCGGGCACTGCCAACGGCCCCCCTCCCCGCCCTCTTCTACTTCGTCCTCTTGCTCCGAGCCGGACACGGAGCCCGACGCCCACTGGGACTCTGGTGAGACGCCCCACTCACAACACTCGTACAAACTGATAGACACGCCCACCTGCCAATCGCTTAAGGACTGCGACTGGTGCCACTCCTGCAAAGATACCCCCTCGGACGTCAGCTGTGAGTCGAGGTTCGATTTCCCGTTACCGGTAACCGGTAAACCGGATTGCACCTGCGAACCAAAACCGGATTCGAAACCGTACCGCTACGAGATCGATTGCGATTGTAAAATCGCGTCGGATATCAGCAACGTCAGCTCGAAGTCGTGCGATTCGTGTTTGAACGGGTCCTGCAATTGTATAGGTTATAAGAGCGAGCGCCCAAAGTTTTCACCGATAGATTACACTTATGCCATCTATTCGGAAACGGGTTATTTCGATACGAAAAAGGAGGCCGAGGCCGACAAGGCCGGTATACCGAAGGTCGGCTCGGATCAGTCGATGTCCGGCGGGGACGAGAAACGATCTAAGCCCCGGCTCTCTTTGGGCGACATGAGGGCCTCGTGGCGGGAGTTTAGCGGGAAATTCGGTGAGAGCAGAAAGAAGAAGAACAAACACGACTGCTGATTCTCTTACTTTTGGTACAATAGTAGTGAATATAAATAGAATCGTGTCTTTTTTATTCTCATTAAATTTAAATACAGGTTATTTCAGATATAAGTGAATTACAAATATCACAGACTGAAACTTAAGCATATACAGTAATATACCTTTTTAATTATGGTATTTAATAACGAATTCGGCGTTAATTTTAAAATTATTATCCTAAACGTCGGATTGTTTTAAATATAAAAAATACCGTTTTAAATTATTCAAGAGATAAAGTTATATTCACTACAATTGTTCCATTGGAAATGTTTTCAAAACGATCTTCGTAAACATCTTGAACTAGGTATTAAATCGTTTGTCGTGTTGTCACGCGTCTTCGTCTACACAATACACAACACATAATAATATAATAAAAGTGTTAAATTTTGCTAATATAATTTCACGTTCGCTCATTAGAGAGGATGATTGTAGCATTAAGTTTTGCAGGGATGCCATTTATTTTGGTACTCGCTGTATATTCGTTGTAAATAGTTCTCTTAGTTGATGATGGGGAGTATGTAGGAATTTCTATGACACCTCCAATTCAAACTATACAAAGTTTGACCTATTTATTCGGACTATGTGGATAAGTATATATTATAAAAAAACGTTTCTTTGCAAGCATAAAAAGGTTTTTTTTTTAAACTCTGCTTAATATATATTGGTTCCCAGAAAGATACTTTATCTATGAAATTCTCTACTAGTACTTTTTCAGCTCGTAAACCTAATAATTTCTAATACATTAATTGGAGGTGACAATTCGTTTGCTTATAATGTTACTACGAAACATCCAACTATAAATTAAAAAACATAAGATTGGAAAAATGAAAAATGTTATTTTAAATTAAACATTCATACATAGTCCCCACTTTAGTTTTTAAGCTAGACATGATATATAGAATGAATTCAATGAGTCGAATTAATTTTCTAATTGTTGCCTATATTATTATTGGAATTTAAGTCTAACTGTGGTACAGCGGAAGCTTAGAAATATTTACATATTATGCGTTAGACGACCCTATATCATCTTTAGAACTCTCTTAATTAGACAAGACCTTTAGTATTTCAGCAACCGATAACGAATTAAATATACATAAATTTGAAAACTTAACACTTGCGTGTGTATCGTGTAACATATTAACATAAAATATAAATAAATAGCATATTTATATTGCTATATGAAAAGTTTTGCGGCGATCTCTGTCATTTCACACAGACGCTGAATTAAAATCACAATGATGGCGACTAAATAACACATTCAATATACTGCATTTGTCAACTAACTTGATCGATTGACAGAATCTGGCTGAACAACAAAAACATACATCACATCCAAACACACACAACATTTGACATGGTAGTGAACGCGAAGAACTAGCTAAAACTATGCTACTGTTAATCTCTAGGAATGATGAATAAAAAAATATTAATACACTTAATGGATACTAGAATTTTCCTCAGTACATTAACACAAGGAGCATATTAATATACTGTTTGGTAACGCAAAGCTGATATTTGTAGGCGCAGGATGCGAACGCGTGGGTCGCTACCGCCCTCTGTCGCCGCTCTGCGCCGAAACAAACACGTAAATATCTTTGAACACCACGCACAGACGGACTATCCATATTATTTAATATTCAAATCTTTAAAACATTTATTAACGTAACGTTTACAATATTGCTATATTGTGTATGTCTGTATGACTTGACTACCGTTCTAATATTATTTCAAATTATGGAAAGCTTATTTATTTTCGCAATTTATAATTAAATTGAATGCTTAGTGAATCGTGAAAAAGAACGTGTTAATTTTAAAGTCCTGGCCGATATTAAGGAAATTAGGTTTTTTATAGAAATGTAATTAACTATTATTATTGAATTATGTTTAAATACTTTCTACTATTTTTGAACGAATTTCTTGTTTAACAGACATACAGGCAGTATATTAAGTGTATTTTTTTGTGTTTATACGCGTTATATACAAACATTGGAACTTAAGTAAGACCATACAAAAGAAAAAGATTTTCTGTAAAATTAACTAAAATCATATGGAGAGTCTGTGTGTTGGCGGCATGTTGACTGTCCCCTATATCACCGCACTTGTATTATAACCGTGCTTTAGCTGTTCAAAGCAAACATCTTTCCGTTGCGGAGCTAAGCGAAGCGAAATTTGTTGAGCCAAGATTGCATTCGCCCATATGTGTATTATCTGCTTGTTGAATTCATATCTATTTCTTCTTTTGTTTTTTTTTTATTATTTTTGTAGCCTGACCAAGCGTCGCGCGAAAGATCTAGGATAAAGAGAAGGAAATAACCATTTTAATCAAATAAAAATTCGCGACTAAATAAATATTATTAAACTCTACATATACGTTATAAAAGTAAGGAAAATATCTAAAAGCTTTAATGAAATTGTCGCTGAAACAGTTTAGTGTTTAAAAATCAAAAATAAATTGAAAAAATTTTCGACTCGGGCAGGACTGGAACCGGCATCGTCAGCGTTGCGTGCTGTTGCTCTACCAATATATAGTGACTCGGTAGCACTACCGAGTCACTATATAATTTAAAAATCAAAAATAAATTGAAAAAAAAAAAATATTCGGTAGCTCAATTGGTAGAGCAACAGCACGGAACGCTGAAGATGCCGGTTCAAGTCCTGCCCGAGTCAAAAATATTTACAATTTATTTTCGATTTTTAAATTACATAGTGCCTTCATGTGCAATAACATGTAAAAAATAATAAAGTTTACAAACAGTATAGTGTTATTTATGAAAAAAATCTGTATTTGGTCATAAACTTTCTGTGTCTGCAGTGCTGTTCGCAATGCTGACATTACAAATATAAACATAAACTAAAGCAAAAAAGCTATTGTATAGTAATTGGGTTTTAACAATTTAACAGTTTTTCGGGTGGCGGTTGGTTTTTCGTCTACTTTGTGTTCTCAGAGCGGGTTGTTTCAAAAATACTGATGTATGTTAAATGAGGTTTATGTTAAATTGTAAAAATTTAACCCTTAACCATCGGAGCATCCGTTAACGTGTTAGCCCAATTTAACGCACGTCAATATCGCTTGAGACAGCTCGCCCTAATCTCAACTGAGTTTACGCTCTTAGATCATACTAAACAAAGTCATCATTTGCATACAAAATTCGTTGCGGTTTTATTGACACTGTTTTGTTCACTTATATTCTCCAAAAATATTATAGCTTCAGGAAATATTTTCATTGCACCGCTTATGATAGCCTTAAAACAGTTTTTTTTATAAGTTTATAGTCGCTTTACAAAACCTTAGGTGGTCTTTAAAATATATTTTTCTTTTATTTTTTAGTTTTGTCTTCCTTTGACTGTTAAATACATATAATTATGTATAATATAATTAAAGTGCACCGTATGAAGAAGGCAGTAGATTCCAATAAACAATACCTTAGTGTAATTTCTAAATATTCCTATTCACTTTTATACCTATGTAAATATTGAACTTACCCATCAAAATGATCACATTTTCTACAATGATCTTTCCTGCATGTGTTTTTAATCTAATTTTGTCTGTTATCTGTCCTTGTGTTTTGTGGGATGTGTCATGTGTTTGTTCTTTAACCTGTGTATGGTCAGCAGCCAAAATATACAACAAATGTTTTATTTTATGCAAGCGTATAAAAAACGACGGCATATCATGAGTTTTTTTTGACCTCCTCATAAAGATATTTAAGTTCAACCTATATATTTTGGCTCTGCACTCAATTTCATTCATTCATCTCTAACATTCATTCGCTGTAAAAAGCTTTGCACAGTACCGATACATTACACATGCCACAGGCTAATTTGCGCCATTTTTAAGGGGCGTTGCCCATTTTGAATTTTCGTTATTGTGTCATAACCAAAATTCATGTTTAATCTGTGGTGTGTGCGCCGACTTTTAATAAATAGACTGGACATAGAATGAAAATATTTTGTACTCCTGTATCAATAATATGATGTTTCAAATTTAGTTGTATATAGAAAAGCTTGTATTCAACAAGTCCAGTCAACACGATTAGGGGTCGGCGTCACGTAATATCTCGGTCGCTTACCTGGGTTTCTCATTTCAGGTGAATCTACATACTTGTGAGGGTGGCACACGGAATCAGTTAACACCTAACCTACAATGAACTCTAACACGGTGCAGTAAAGACCATTATCCTAGTGACGTTGAAAAAACTTAGTGTTCTATGTGTGTTTATGTGTAGATATGTGGATTAATTGGTTGTGCTATGCAACGGACTGATGTGATATGAACGGTTAATAAACGTCTTGAAACTTGCTGCAGATTGATTCTTAGAGGTTCTTAATTATATTCAACTGACGTAGTATACAGATTTGTGTTGGTAGTCTCTGCATATATGGGCGGTTTTATTAGGACTACTGAGGTCCTTTAGCTGTCAATATCTCTTCTAAACCTTTCCACATTTTCGCATAAAAGCCCCAAAACCTCGTCAAGTATATAACTTTATCCTCGTGCAAACATCTATATAAATACAACGGCTTAACTGTTGTGGACTTCTTTAAATTAGTTGCCAAAATTCGTATTCTCTTTAAGACTCAATCTGTCAAGATCGCATGTCGATTGTCTACGGTGTGGCCACATGGCCCGATGATGTGTGACCACGTGGTCGGCACGTGATCGCATGACCGCGTGGTCGAATTGTCACAATGTACGTGTATTTTACCTTATGACTGATAAGTACAGAGTTGTTTTCTAATTTTGTATTTTTATTGAGTTTCGGTTTTCTAGGAGTCTAATAATTTGAATATAAATTCTATTATTATTGAATAATTAATATGTAATTAATTGCATTTGACAGACATTTTATTGAATACGGTATTGATTATCGTGATGCGTAGCAGTTCAATGTTTTACCCAATGACTTATACATGGTGTTACAGAATGGTACACCATTTATTTCTCGTTTGAGGAGTTACGTTTCAGCTCCTTATACAAA